CTGTCAGTCGTCTCGCCATGCACCCTGCATCATTCTTTAAGCACATGAGAAGTTCATTATCCTGAGGAGTTCTTGCAATGACAGGGGAATGGGGGATTAGGGGCCGTCTGAATTGTGCATTACCGAGAGTGGGACATAGTACCGAGAGTGTACATATGCACAAGGGACAGTGGAATAGGTGAGGCCTAGATGGCCCATTTCAATTGCTGTGATAGGTAAGCACAGGTATGAGTGGGGGAAAAAATCCTCCATAAAATTCCCATGGCAGTATTTCACCTTGAATGGAAAAGTATCCTTCAAAGCACGTGTAATTAAAATAAAACATTTTAGATTGTAAAACAAAATTAAAAATGCAAGGCCTTTCATTAAATCAACAATATTTTTAGTAACCTTTTCTTTGCAAAGCACTAGAAAGAAAACATTTTGTGGACCAAGAGAACCAGAAAGATTTTGTTCAGTCCATGCTAATATTCTCTGAAGGACCGGTCCAACTAAGCACTAATTGCACAGTGATCCTTACAGCTTTCCTTAATTTTGAAGTAGCACAGCTCTAAACAGATGATGCAAGAACAACTTAAGACAGTTTATTGTTAGATAACACTTTTCTGTACAAAGTGCCCCTTGGACATTTTTTTAATATAAGGAAATATAACTGCAACACCAATAAATGCCAAACACTAAGGAAATCATAAATATAATCGATTACACATAATAAAAACAGACACAGTTCTATTCTAAAACAAAATATTTGCTAAGTATTTTCTAATGATAACAATATAACATAGGTAGGTCTACCCCAATGAGATGCATGTTTATCACTAATTTAATTTAAAACTGGTTGGTATAGGATTTGCCATTAAAATATCTTTCCACCATTAACTGGATTTTCAGTGTCTGCATCTATCATCTGTGGTAGAAAAGATGAAAAGATAGCTGGTTTCTACTGTATGTTTAGAGAGAGATTCAGTACAAAATCTCCTGGTAAGTCATTTTGGAGATATACAACCAAAGGGGGAGCAAACACACAGATTTGCACTTTCTATAAATTTCTGTAAATGAGGAGAGCAAGGAGATATGTCTTAATTAGCACACCCCTTTCTGTATACAAAGCACTGTAGATTAGTGTAAATTAAAGCAGCAACATCTGACAAAGCACAGGCAGCAGAATTACTGTTCAACATAAATTTAATGCTCCAACCAAACTCTTCAAGATTCAAGATCACGTTGGGATGGTAACTTTACAGAGACTCCCTAACACTTCTGGCTCTTCCCATTTAAAGCACCAAGATTTTTTTTTTAAAAAGCAACGGCTCCTTTGATTTATGATACTTCAGAACAACTAAAATTCAATTTCTCTGTGCATTCTCGGCCTTTGATTACCCCGTAAATGAGATAAACTGATAGCAATTTATTCTAAGATCTAACCAACTTTTTTTTTCTCCCTTTTTTCCCCTTTTAACAGTCAACCTGGAATTTTATAGATGAGTGACTCAGATATTTAAGCAATATGTCTGTATTCCAGACCCGCTCACTAGAACAGACATGTTGATGCTAATAGGAAATTCTTGAAATACAGAGTAAGACTCCTGTAATACAGAAAAAGACAAATGGAACTAGTATTTATTTAGCAAAAAAACTGTAGTATATTTTAATTTTTTATTTAGGTAGATAATTATACTTGGCAGTTCTCATTAAATATTAAGTGACTATGCCCATTTCCCATCACCTCCACTTCACTCTGAAAAAACTACAGAACAAAAGTCAGTCCATGGTAAAAAGGCCAATGACTCATCAATACAATGTGACACAATGAAGATATCCATGTTCCTGAATTGTTTCCAGAGGGCAAAACGCAACTAAAAATCAACCCTTAGCCCATTTTTAAAATTAGATTGTTTCATGGCATTATAGACTAAGCTTTTCCATCACCACGCGCATCTGAAAAGTTTAGACATTTGTTGGTGTTTTCTGTTAATTAGAAGCAATAAAGTAAATAGTAAATTTACAACCTCCAAATATTTCTGTTTTGTTATTTGAATTCCACACAGAATATCCGTTACAAGCACCTTTTCAAATTAAAGCCAGCTAGGCAAGAATTAACATTTGGCACATGATTCTGTCATCTTTCAACCTGGGCAGCAGCTCAGGATTAGAGCTAACTTTAAATACAACATAAGAGATCAAGCACTGGCAAAGCCAATGAAAGCACGTATGTTCTGTTTAAAAGACTGTATTTATACTAGCATTATTGATAAATTTATGTTCTGTGTAAATCATATTGATTAATAACCCAACAGCTATTTCATGGCCTGTAAATTGCTAGACAGTGTATCACAATACACTCCTTTTAAGAGATGCAATACATCATCTTGGAGAAGAATCATAATTAATTGGGTACACAATTTATTACTGCTCCCCTGCCGAGGACGAAATCAACAGCTTCTCTGTAAGAGTTTCCAGCAGTTAGATGGTAACCCAGTCAGTCACAAATTACACCACAGAAATAGTACAGGCAGTGTTTTCTTAATGCAGCTTATTGAAAAATGTGAGCTAATTACATAGTAGACTTCAGATTTGTATAGACAGTCTTTTATGTATCCATCATTTGGTGAAATATGTCATTTTATGGAGCAGTGCTTTACATCAGTGCTTATCAATTGTTAAAAGTTTGAAAACAGTCTGAAAAAGTCTGAAACAGCATGAACAACTACGGAAACTGCAACTTTGCTTCTTAAATGTGTCGTGGGTGTTCTAAACTAATTATACAGTATGTACATAGAAACATTCTGGAGAATGGTTAGTACTATCAACTTGCAGGGCAGACCTCTTGAATTAATTCTCATTTGGAGTACAATCCCAGTATGTGGCAACAGTCTCCATTACCTTCTTCCATGTAGTAGTTTACCTTGTTCTACAGTATGTGCACAATCGCAAGTATCAATGCCCAGATTTAACAAAAAGAGTGATTATGTAATAAGAGGACACTCACAGATGGAAGTTCCTGCCTTCTATGATCTTGAGTGAAATAGCAGAGATTGTAAAGCTGAAAAATTAAAACTATTAATTTTGACTTTCCACTTTAGAAGGTTAAAAATGTGTTAAAATGTAATACTTTTAATTACAATATTTAGAGAAAAATATATGTAGTTCAGATGTCAAAAGCACTGGACTTGCCAGTGGTAGTTAATTTGATTTTAATGGGGTATATACTGAACTAATTCATAACACTTTGTGATTATCACTACAGTAGGTAAGCTATTCACTGTTAAAGCATTTAGTGTTTGAAGACAGGTAAGCAGATTTCTATTTTTCTTTTTATACATGTTCAGGATTGCTTTAGACTTATTTACTTCAGTGTCAAAGGACATGTTTTTATGTTATGAGATGTATACTGTATGTAACTTTTCTATTAATTGTGGTACATGTCCAAACCCACAACGAGCAAGCAGAAATGATCATTTAGAAATAATCAAGGTTGATATTGCACCATACACTGATTGACTTATTGATATCTAGCTTCATTCTGATTGCTATGCATTAAGTGCGTTTAAATGATTCTGTACAGAAAAGTAGATCTTTTCTATAAGAAACTAAACACAAATTACTTTTTCTTCTGTATTAATCAGTTCACTCAGCTTTTTTTAATAATAAATGACTCCTTTAATCAGACTCTTTCTGGATGGGAAGCAAAGAAAATGACTGGCACACTCTATCTTTCAACTTCCTAATTCAAATTAATTAACCGCTGCATGATTCCTTGCCTCTTCTTAATCCACTTCAAATTCCCCCTTTACTCAAATCCGGTCATCTGACCTGCACTGTCTATCTTACAGAAAAAGGGCAGTGGAATGCTTTCATACATCAATCCGAGAAAAGCAAAATTAAAATAAATAAATAAATGAACTGAAACCTTGTAGCAACAGTGCATAATTGCTGCCATTTCCAAACATAAATCTATAAATCTAAATCTCATCAACTACGTGAACACAGAGCTGCCCCTCCGATTTTGTCAGCTACATTTGCTATCCGTCACTTGGAAGCACCCCATATCAGTCACGTAAATAAATGATCCCTCCCACCCCTCTTTATCCTTTCGCCTTGATTGATGCTGAAATTGTTTTGTCCGATTCCCATTATAGGGCTGCGTTGAAGCGGGCACACAGGAAGAAAGACTGAAACTAATCTAATCAGCCAGGATAATAGGAGCGGGAAGCAGCTGAACTCCTCAGTATGGCTGGTACACAAAGCAGCGCTGGGAGCCTGACAGGGTGGGAACTGGAGGAAAGAGCACATTCCCCTCCTTTCCCTGTATCCCAATCGTGCACACACTCCCTCTCTCCACCTTGAGGAAGTGCTACACCATTCTCCAAAAGTCAGGGCCTGTTCTCACATCCTCACTCTTCCACAAAGTAGAAACGAAGGAGGACTGGAAGTTTCCACATCTACATGCATTTGGTACAGCACAGTATTTTTATCACATACAGCTGATCAAATGTCAATAACTATATTGAGAAGAGTACACGGAAGCAGCAGGGTACATTTTCAACAACTTTGCCCATTCCTCAACCCATGTTAGCTCTCATTAAAACACCTTGCCGATTCATGTGGTGAGAACAAACCAGCAAAATGTTTTGTATATTTTGCATAGAGTGGGTTTCCAATAGAGACACTGGGCATTATATGAAGAGAAAAATCTGCTGAGTGCAAGTGTTATTCAGTCAATCCCAGAAGTTAAGATCAATCTTAACTACTGGGAGTGACACTTGATCTAAAGCACTCCAGAAATTCAACTGCTGAGGCAATTCTGCACTTCTTCACCATATGCTAGAACATTAAGTCCAACACATATCTTCCATGGGGGTGCTGCACTTCAGTGATGGACCGAAATGGACCTTTGGATACGAGAATGCCTTAGAATGAAAAGTAGTATACCAATGGATTAAAATATTCATTCATTGGTTTCTACAAGTATTTTCTGGGGTGAAGCAGTGTACTGTTACCTTCATTTCCAGTGGCTGGCCCATCAGGCTTGGTAGCGCCGGTGCTCTTTTTCCGCCTGTGTTTCTTGCGGTTGGCATGTGGTGAAGGTGGAGGCTCCAGTTTAGGACTGGTTGTACTCGACACATTGGGGCTGGAGCTCAGGGAGTCCGCAGTTCCATTAGCTGATGAAAAGAAAAAAAAAAGAGATGATTTCACATCTGTACTGTACAACCCAATCATAAAACTCCAGATACCCATTCAGAAAATATAGAAATATACTGTAGTGCTTAAGAAAACAGTTATGTAATCAAATGAAGTGAAAAAAACTAAAGTACACAAAAAACAGAAAAATCTGAAACAATAAAAAGAGATTTACGTCCTATAATACTCATACCTGTAATAACATACATTTCCTATTGCAAAAAAGTACAAAAATCTTCATCCATTTTTCAAAAGCAGACTAAAAAGAATAATAAAGTATACAATGGTAATAATACACTAGGTATGAAATTCTAACTACTGATGTCTTGATGTTCAAAGTACATTGAAAGGGTCAGTTAAAATCAAATTACCATGACGAAACATCATGAGACACCAGAGATGTCAAATTACAAATTTCATTATTTATGTGTACAGCAGAGTGGTCTAAAGCAACTAAAACAACTACAGTCCCTTGTAAAAGTATTTAGAATCTTAAACAGTTTTCAATATTATGTTGCTTTAAAGCTTCCAGTCATGACACTTTGAGGTAGTGATTAATATTTGTTATATAGCATACACATCATTCTGTACACATTCAAACCAAGAAACACAATCGGAAATAGATAACTATGAAAGAAAAATGGAACAGTCATAATTGCTTAAGTATTCAAAACCTTTGCTGTGGCAAACCCAAATTAAGGTGCACATTATGACTTAACGAGCCACACAATTATCTAAATGGGTTTTGTCTGTATGCAATAACAGTAGTTCTCAAGATCTCAGAATTAAAACACCTGTCTTTGTGTGGTTTCTTGTTCAGGTAGTGAACTTCAAGCACAGTGTCAAACAACGAAGACTAACAAGATTTCAAAGCAAGTCAAGGATTGAGTTACTGAAATGCCAGATCAGTAAAAGGGTACAACAATTTTAAAAGTGTCTAAATATACATATTGGCATGGTCTACTCAATCATCCAGATATGGAAGATTTGTTGCACCATGACAGTGCGTAGATCAGGACATCTCTCCAAACTGAGCAGCCAGGCAAGGTGGTGAGGGATGCTACTGTGAGTCCAAGGTTAACTTTGAAGAGCTAAAGTGTAATGGCTGAGAAAATGTGCATCAGTAAACACATATTAAGAACACCTCACAAATATCAAGACCACCTCACAAATATCCAGAACACTTCATAAAACTATACTGTATGACTGAGAGCCAAGAATAAAACCATTACTGAAAATAAGTAATCTCACAGCCCACACTGGGATTTAGAAGAAAGTATCTTAAAATGTGGCAAAAGGTGTTTTGAGCAGAGGAGCACTAATTTGAATTATTTGGTGTAAATGTCTGGTACAGACCCCACACAGAATATCTCCCAGTTACCACCATCCCTACTGTCAAGCATGGTAGTGACAGTTATGGGGATGCTTCTCCTCAGCATTGAACCTGAAGTTTGTTCAAATAAAAGGGAAAATGGACAGAATAAAAATACAGGAAAATACTAGAGGAAAATAGTTTCAGTCTTTAAACCTGGGATGAAAAATCACCTTTCAGCAAGACAATGACCAAAAGAACAAGGCATTTCAGTGATGCTTTGGCCTTAGGAACAAGAAAATGAATATACTTTCGATCAAAGTCCTGACTTGGCCTATTGAGAATCTCTTCTTTTGAGAGCTTGTGTGAATGTGCCAAGACGAATGGATAAATATTGCACCAATCCGTTATGCAAAGTTGACAGAGACTTACCAAAAAAGACTTGCGCTATAACTACTGCCAAAGGTGTATTCACCAAATACTGAGTTCACAGGTATGAATGTTTAATTTTTTTTTTACATTTTCTATAATTACTCTTAACATTAGAAGTCTTCAGTTTGAACATTCACATTCTGAATAAAATATCAAATTTTGCAATTTTAACCAAATGGGACGTTGTAAAAAGGGTCTGTAGTTCTGCAAGTCTTCATTGAAAATGTGCATTTCAAGAACATCTGTTTCAAAACAATTTGTGGCTAATTCTGTTTGTCATCTATCTATTATGCTCATATTACAGAACTAATTAAATGGTTTATCATACTTTACTTATTTCTTCTGCAGTGTTCTTTAATGGAAAATGGTTAGAACTCCACACTTTGCTTATGATAAATTGAGAAAAATCAGTACATACATGTTATTCATACTGTAATAACCACACAAAATCCTATAAAATATTTCAACAATGACAATTGTTAACATCAGGAACTTAGCACCATAAAAGTGTTCTACCAAATGTGACGAAAAAGGAAACAAGAGAATGACACACAATATAACATAATACCACAAGAATAAAAAAAAAATAGGAAGCACACAATGGAAAAACTGCAAATGTGAGCTGAAGTCTTGCCCAGCATTTAGTAATAAATGGGTATTTTGGTAGCCAAGGGCGAAGCTTTCTATATAAGTGTCCATGAATGGCCGAGGCTAAATGCAGGTGATGCTTCTTGTAAGTGATTTTACAAATGTGATATTAACCTGCTCCTCGGTTGGGTAGGGGTGGGTATGCCTGGTCAGAGTCATCCTTCCTGGTGCCTGTTTTTGACAGCACCGAGGGAGCCATTACCTCCCATCACCCCCTCAGGACCGTCATTAGGTTTCCCAGACAGCCGGGGGCAGCAATGCCAAATGAGCACACCCATATTGGCCTCAACAGACCCAGCATGACAGTGGCAGCATTTCATTGTTTAACATAAAAGGTTCATTGTAGTGTGTCAAACTACATTTATTTAATCTGGCCCTTGGTGAGGGCGAGGTACAAGATTTTGTGTGGCTTTGGAAAGGGGGTGGGGACATTCCATCCCCATAGTTGTTCATTTCATAATTACTGTGTTCGGTGCTATTAGCCAGTGTACAATATCAACACTAATTTGGCCATTACTTATTCTGACAGCAGAGCCAGTGTTATCTTAAGGGTTGCAGTGGGCACAGCGGGTAGCAGAAGATGTGCAGTTGACAGTCCCTCAACACCTCCGGCTAAAGGCCAGGTTCCTCGTTTGTTTTCAAACACAAACAGAAAAACTCAATAGTTCCTGTATCTTGGGAATTTTGATTCTGATACAATATACTCCACTTGCACTTACAGGTAATAACATGGCAGCTTGTTTTGTCTTAAACGTAACACTGGTCCTTGAACAATTTATGTCAAGTATCACATAAAAATGTTCCTTGTTTCTTTTGAAGAACACAGCCACAAGATGATTTAGGAGCACAAGTGAGTAATAAGTTAGCATCAGTAAAAGGCTGATTTGCAAAATCTGTGATTGTTGAAATTTTAAGATTATTTACAATTCTACTTTTGGCTTCAGCACAGTGGATAAGACACTTTCTACCAGGAATTCTGGTTCTGGTTTTAGAGATGGACTGTCCATCTCTGAAAACTGCTTCTGTATTCAAGTTAAACATTCCTTCTCATTATCCCATCAACTGTAGCTGTAAGAAATGAAAGAGTGAATAAAATAAGCATACGACTATTTTTACAAATATCTGAAGCTTCCTTTTTACAGTATATCAGGAGTTGGCTGAACAAAATTATTAAGAAAAGCATTAAACGTATGATTTTTCAAATCTTTTTATGAATAAAGTTTTACTTTTGTTTTTTTATATCTGGATGCACTTCATGAAGTGATATGGAAAGCAGGTAATGAGATGTTTAGACATGGTCTTTAAAGTTTACTGTTCTTACAATTATTCAGATACTGCACACTACTCAATAATAAATATACTGCTTAGGCCACCATTTGGAAGAGGTTTACTTCCAAGCTTCTTTTTTTTTTACTTCTCTATATCTTTTAAACACCTATTGGCAGTCTTCACTACATATATCTTAATTTTACTTCAAATGAAATTGAACAAAATACCCAATTGAATTGACCATCGGTTCTTAGACATTTGAACACAATATGCTAAAGTATACTTATGAGTTATGATAACACCCAATATTTTAATTCCTTATTAATAAAACAGAAAATAAAATGCACAGAGCTATAAGTTTAAAGCCTGGAAAGAATTCTGGTAACACCGGTTCAGCGCCCCTACGTAACATTAAGCGGGGTGTCTGGTTTAATTTGCCAGGGCCCCCACAGCCCCCCTAGAGAGAAGTCATTAGCTAACAGAGACAGCTGGGGGAGTGCAGGCCGAATGAGCCTCCTCCCCAGCGTCTGTCCTGTCTGAGGCCTGCAGCACTGCTCCTTATGGTTCCACAGAAAAAGATGGTTGTAGCATGTCAAACTACATTTATTTAATGTGGCTTCAGGTTAAAGGGGGGAAATTCCTGAGGGAGAGCTGTGTCATAATCACTTTTAATTATCAATTCTAGGCTTTAATGTTCCGGAAAAGGACTCTTGTGCCTTCCACCTGTACCTCAAGACCACACAGAAAGAAATAAAAGGACAAGGGAGGCACAAACAAGGAATGCTTCATGCATATATAAATTAAAAAGTATTTTAGATATTTTGCAATGATCCAGCTATTCATTGTTAAAAAAAATAAAAATAATAATACACTTCTCCCATTGGTGATAGTGTACAGTGACTAATGGTGAGAATCAAAATAAAAAACCAAACAAAATAATGTGGAGAAAATAATGTGTTATTCGAGCCAATTTATTTATTATCTTTTCTACACATAATTCATAAGACAGACTGTCCATATTGCCTACAGTGACAGGCTTTTCACCTGTTAAACCACTGCCTGGATAAATAATGTGACAATTATGTTGTGAATAACACAGTGACAGAAAATTAGCAGCATGCATAAAGCAACCAAAGCTCAGAACTTACAAAACTTTGGATGAAAGAGCCCAAATTTGACGAGGAAGATGATAGTAAAAGGAGCTGTGGGATGGCTGTTAATGTCAAGTTTACAATAAAATAAAGAAAGGTGAAAACAATCATCTAAATCACTTGTAACAAAGGTAACAGCATCTTCCCGGAACATGAAAAATGTGAGTGA